ACTTTGGGCGCTCCAAAAGAAGTCAATTACAAAATTATTAGTATATAGTATACACGAGTAATAACACCGGCTAGCAATTAAGCATTATTTATGGTTAATAAAAACGAGAGAGAGGGTTGATCGTACATCCATTTTTTAATCAAATGCATGCGTTTCAAAGCATAGGAGGCCAATTTTAGCTAGTGTACAATTCTGCAATAATTTTTTGGTCCTTGTATGAGTTGGATCAATTAAAATTTGAATTCAAGGTTGGTTGATTTCTTTGCCAAAATGTCAAGTTTCATGATCATAAGGTGGAAAGTAATCCATTTTGGATCTAATTAGTTGCACTAATGTGTATCTATCAACCTTGATGTGAGATTTACAGTCGTAACACGTGAATATGTGAAACCAACTCTTTAATTATAAGCGCGTGTGAAGTCCCTTCATTCTCTCATGCACGATTCAAAGCCTAACGTGCGATTCTACCTTTGACTTGGTTGTGATTTGCTCCTACGCAGTGTATGAATTTCTTTGATACATGCGATATTTTTGTGGAAATATCAGAAAAAGATATGAAAATGGTGGTGAAGTCTAAACTTCACATGATATCAGCATAAACTCTTAAATTTCGGTTAAAATTGACCTATTTCGTCAATAATTCCAACATATTTAAATATCGACAAATTGCCATATAACATTCCCTAACCTTCATTTAAATGTCCAAGTTTTTTAGCAAATTTCCATCATTTCCATATAAGGCAACCGATATTGATATATTCATGGATATTTCTACAAATTTGCATATCGATATTTCCATCGATACCGATATTTTACATAGTGCTCCTACGACATGGCATCTTTAAACATTATTCTCCCCCAAAGAGTGGTGAACAACCAAATTTGGTGTTCTTAATTTTATATTTTGGTACATGGAATTGTTCTTGACAATCCAAAATTCTTAATGTGCAGTCCAATTTTTCTATTTTTAGAATGAAAAATACACTCGTAAGGAGTGCAAAATGAATTTTTTTGGAGTGCCAATAATAATCCCCTGATATATAGCTGAAGATAATTCTCCTTTAGAAGCTTAATTATTTAGTACTCAATTTAAATCACTTGTACGTAATCAAGATTTTAAATGACAAAATGAGTAAGAGCTCGTTTGGACGTACTTTTAAAATGACTGAAAACACTTTTGGTAAAAATATTTTTGGAAACAATCCTTAGTAAAAATGCTAATAAATCCTGGAAAATCACTTAAAGTGCTTCCTAGAAAAAACACATAACTGGTGTTTTTTGTAGAAAACACTTAAAGTGTTTTTGGAATAAAAAAATATTTTCTCTAAAAGCGCTTTCAGTTATTTAAAAAGCACATCCAAACGAACCCTAAAACTTTGGCACTCCAAAAGAAGTCAAATGGCGGTTGGTAGGACCGTACAATAGGAGCCATAAACATCATATCACAAGACTATTAGTATATGGTATACATGAGTACTAACAACGGCTAGCAATTAAGCATTATTTATGGTTAATAAAAACGAGAGAGAGGGTTGATCGTACATCCATCCTTTAATCAAATGCATGCATTTCAAAGCGTAGGAGGGCCAATTCTAGCTAGTGTACAATTCTGCAATAATTTTTTGGTCCTTGTATGAGTTGGATCAATTAAAATTGGGAGGTTTAACAAAACACTTCCGACACTGTTCACTTTTAACAAAAAATCACATGTATACATTTTTCTGGTACTATTCACTATATCTTTAAAAATGACTTTTCATTAAAAGGGAAGTATTTTTTACTTTTCGTTAGTTTTCCTATTAAAATTTGAATTCAAGGTTGGTTAATTTCTTTGCCAAAATGTCAAGTTTCATGATCATAAGGTGGAAAGTAATCCATTTTGGATATAATTAGTTGCACTAATTTGTATCTATCAACCTCGATGTGAGATTTACGATGGTAACACGTGAAAATGTGAAACCAACTCTTTAATTATAAGCACATGTGAAGTCCCTTTATTCTTCAATACATGATTCAAAGCCTAACGTGCGATTCTACTTTTGACTTGGTAGTGATTTTCTTGTACGCAGTGTATGAATTTCTTCGATACATGCGATATTTCTGTGAAAATATCATAAAAAGATATGAAAATGGTGGTGAAGTTTAAATTTCACAAGATATCAGATAAACTTTTAAATTTCGGTTAAAATCGACCTATTTCATCAATAATTTTGACATATTTAAATATCGACAAATTGTCATATAACATTCCCTAACTTTCATTTAAATGTCCAAGTTTTTTAGCTAATTTTCATTATTTCCATCTAAAGCAATTGATATCGATATCAATATCAATAATGATATATCCATGGATATTTCCACAAATTTGCGTATCGATACCGATATTTTATACAATGCTCCTACGACATGGCATCTTTAAACATTATTCTCCCCCAAAGAGTGGTGAACAAACAAATTTGGTGTTCTTAATTTTATATTTTGGTACATGGAATTGTTCTTGACAATCCAAAATTCTCAATGTACACTCCAATTTTTTTATTTTTAGACTGAAAAATACACTCGTAAGGAATGATTTTTTGGAGTGCCAATAATAATTCCTGGTATATAGCGGAAGATAATTCTCTTTTAGAAGCTTAATTATTTAGTACTCAATGATCAAGTTTTGCCTAAAAATAATTGTCAATGCCTTGTTTAGTACATGAAAGCCTATCCTTCGTCCAATTGAGGGATAACCCCCTCCTTGGGGCAATACGATGCTTCCCTTTAAAGCCTTCACCGTCAAGTTTTGATGATTAATTGTCGGCTATAGTGGAAGTCAGGAGGGTTCCACTCTCAAATGTAGGAGAAACTTTCAGTTGTGGCGGGAACACGAATAGTATACGTGTGTTTTTATGTAAGTGGCGAAAAATTTTAAATTTAAAGTTATTAACCTTTTAACGCACATATTCCACAATTTATATAGAGACACATGATGTATTATATCTTGTGTGACGGTCATACTGAAAAATCTCTTCAAATGTAGTAATTCTTTTTTGTTTCTAGCGTTTGGCACTAGAATATGTACGGTCAGGTCAGTTTACCGGGAGGATCGTCCTCACAATTCCATATTTTTTTCGTGAAAGTTTCAATCTTGTACACTACGGTAACAATCGCGACTATAAATAAACTCACAATTATGGCATGGCAGTATGCTCTGCTCTCTTGCGACCCCTACTCTAATCAAAAGATTAAAGGCCCCTTAGGTCGCCAAACTAGAATGAGAGGTTCGCCTTTTGAATAAGAAATGGGAGAAATATTATTGTCATTGGTATCCATAATTTAGTGCAAAATGACCAAATTCAAATAAATAAATAAAAAAAATAGAAGATTCCACCAATAGCTCGGTGACGTTGGTCCATATTTTTTAAATATTTGTAAAATTATGAATTGTTACGCTTTTACGATGCACTTAGGATAAGTTTGATACATAAAATTGGCTTGATTTGGGATGGTTTTATTTAGCGCAAGCTTATCATATTGTTAATTAACTCCATGTCGTTTTAGGTTCAGTTTTAAATGAACCAAATATGGTCAATCAAACACAATGACTCATTTTTACTTCTTGTGAAGCCGAATTCACTATGAAATTGTTATAAGTCCCAAACTATGAGAATGTAAATGTGATTAACTCTACTTATATTGTTTTTCAAGTGAATTATAGGAAATTATGGGCACCTTTGACATCAACACATCCCCCTAACTCTCGACGTTAAAAATGGTTCTCGAGTTGTTTTGCTAGGCAGGTTCGATAATGATCCTTATGCAAGTTCCTCTATGAAAACTTTGTTATGACTTCTCCCTCTAAATGGCAAGGTTGAGTAGACTTCTCGTGACATGGCGGGCAATTAGTATGAGTGACAAACAATGTGTCAAAGGGCAGAGGCGTAGTTAACACGAGTTGATGACTCACGCTTACTAAGAATTTCTTGTTAAACATCAATAATTAGATTATAAATTATGGGTGTGCTTGTTTGACTTCGTTAGCTCTGACTATACTAAACTAGATTAAAGATTAGTGCAATTCAATGTTTGTTTTCCACAAGGACTAGCTTTAATGGGATTAAGTTTCACTCAACTAGACTAAGGGCTTGCTAGATAGTCTTAGCGAGACCCCCCAAATACCATAGGATTGCTATGACCCCCCCTCTCTCGCGTCCTTGTCATCTCGGACTCCTCACAATCTCCAAATACGCCATCTTTGGTTTTTCTTGGGTTTTCTCGATTGGATTATGGGTTTCTTGAAACGAAGATTTTGGGTTTTTTGGACTGGGTCTTGGGTTTTTGGATTAGATTCTAGAATTTTTGAAATGGAGGATTGGATTTCAGGAAAAGTGATTTAGAAAATGAAAAAAATAAATTTCAAGTTCCAAATATGTTTTAGTCTATAACTTTAGTCTTGCATTGCATTAAATACTTAACTATTCTTATTTTGTTTGAATTAAATCAAATCGATACAACTTAATCTACAAAGTTAGTTCAGTCCTAAACAGTTCGATTCAACTAAAGCCCCCTAAAGGACCGTACATCACGCAAGTTCCAACTGTCGAAGCCTCTCAACAGACAACATCACGTCAGATAAATCACACAGTAACCTCCACGTACTTTCCACAACTCCCAGTAACATTCCGCAACGTGGCGCTCTCTCCTCCAGTTAATGTTCCTCAGCCGATAAAATGAGGCTGGCCGACAAGGCGACTATCCTCCCGTTCCTCTACCGTCCGTCCACGTGTCGTCAACCAACGGCCAGATCTCATTCCTCTCCCATGTCTTCACGGCGGCTGCAACAGTTGGACTCTGACATCGTAAGGCGGTTTCGGTCCTTTTGCCACTCCAAGCATCGGTCAGTGTCATTGTGTTATTTGCTTGTGTCGCGGGGCTAATTTGGTAATTTCAGAAAAAAGAAAGAGTTTGGAAAGAGATGTGGGAGGGATATTTGTCGGTGTTCGCAGCTTACAATTTATTATTCGCCTTCTCTCTCTCACTCCTCACTCTCTCTCTAGATTAGCAACCGAAAACAGAGTGTGTGGGAAGGAAAAGATTGCACACTCAAACTCTTAGGCAAATGTGAGCGGAATTTTCCCGGAAAATCAGGGATCGATCAATTTACCCGGAAAATTCAGTAATCCGTCAAATACGGTAATTGAAATGCAAGACATTCATTCAGTGAGAGGAGGAGGGAGGTTCTTCGGCGGCTCGGGAGGAGGAGACCGGCGGCTGAGGCCGCACCAGCACCCCAACCAGCAGGCTTTGAAGTGCCCGCGGTGCGATTCTCTCCACACCAAGTTCTGCTACTACAACAACTACAACCTCTCCCAGCCCCGCCACTTCTGTAAGGCCTGCCGCCGCTACTGGACCAAAGGCGGTGTCCTCCGTAACGTCCCAGTCGGCGGCGGATGTCGCAAAACTAAACGCTCCAAGCCGAAAAATTCATCTTCGTCATCGCCGACATCGTCTCCCCCTCCTCCGCCGCCGCAACCGAACAGCGCCCATCAGAACAAATCCAGCTCTCATTCGAGCAGCGAGAGCTCGAGCCTCACCAACCCACGCCGCCGCCGCTACTGCCGCCACGGAGGCCGTCTCAGCACCGTCTTCGACCGGCTCTGCTTCCAATTTACTAACCAATATTCATAATCCGGAATCCAAATTCTTCATTTGTCAAGGCGGCGCGAACGGTGGCTTTGAGCACGGAGCGTCGGCGGCGGCGCTGCTGGAGCAGAGTACGGAGATTAACGGAATGTCTTCCGAGATTGGGAGCTTCACGAGCTTGATCACGTCTTCCAACGACGTGCCGTTTAGTTTCGGGAACATCAACGGCTTGCCGTTTGATCATCAAGACCAAGTTGGTAATCATCATCACAATCAAGTTCATCAAAACCAATGGGGGCAGCAGAACCAGGAAGTGAAGATGCAGGAGATCAGTGGTGGATTACTGGATCAGACGGCGCAGGTCGATCTATCAGTGTTCCAAAACAGATCCAACGGCGTCGGAAGAGGAGAATTTGGACCGTTGGATTGGCAACCGGGATCAGTTGATCAAGGTTTTTTTGATCTTCGTAACACCGTTGATCAAGCATACTGGAGTCAAAGTCAATGGGCCGATCAAGACCACCCTACTCTCTACCTCCCGTAAAATCTCTCACTCTAATTAACCATCCATTTAAAAAAAGGGGAAAATCTCAAATAATTATTATAATTATTTGAGATAAAATTGAAAATTGAAAATAAAATTATGGATATATAATATGACTTGTATTTATAAAATTTCATATAATTATTATACTTTTTATTAGTTTTTATGAATTGTTATTGACACTTTAAAACATTTCGAATTTTCTATATTTATTAAAAAATTACATGCGAGAAGTCTGAAAATAAAAATTTTGAAGTGTCAATAACAATCAGTAGGTTTTTTGGAATGTGTTTGGGTTCACTCTTGCCTCTCGAGGTTAATCTGCAACAAACTTCGTGTTAGTTTTTATTTTTAATAATTTTGTTTTTGGATTTGTCTCTAATGTATATGAATTTGAATTAATCAGATATTTAGAGACAGATATTAGAATTACTCACTCGTGTCTCAGATTACTTTCTTCGTTAATTTCAATTTTTTCTATTGAAATGTTGTTTTGAATTTATGGAGTAAAAATTCGAACTTAACTATGAAAACACGAATGCTTTGATTTGGTCAGATGGTATAGTATAATTCATTTCTATTATGTCCATCTTAGTTTTAAGTTATTCATAAATGCTAGTCTATCTAGTCACTTACTACAAACATAAGTATGGGAAGACGAACGGTCCGATTTAATCAACTTGCGTAACTCAAGTCGTGCCTCTTAATTTTAGTTAAGTTTTACTAATTAGAATTATTAGTAGCTGTTTATCAACATTTAAACACACTTAAGGGTTTGCCACGTCATCACTGTAAGTGAGGATTAACAGTGGGGGTAATCAAGGTTTAGATATTTATTTTTATTTTTATTTTTGGCGGGTACCGCCGGTGGGTGGTGTTGGGGGAGGTTTGTGCAGTGCGCGGGTACTGGGGCGACTCGGTTGGCAATTGGTTTGGAGAGCGGGGGCCCACTTGGATTGGGAAGTAGGCCCATGCGCGATTATGGCTCCACGTGGCGGAGGGATGGGGAAGGGGGGAGCCCTGGATGATAACGAAATAGGACACGTGGGCCTAGGTGATGTGCCAGGGGCTTGGGAGGGTCGGTTTGTCCTGGCTCTCTCGCCTACTCTGTTGTATAGTGTATTCACACAGTCACTGACAGTGACAACTGAGTCCTCGATGAGGCAAAATCTTAAATCCAATCGAGTATGTTACCGTATCATGTAACGAGAGTGATATTGGTAAGAAAGGTAAGAATGTACTCTCATTCTCTAGTTTCAAATTCTAATTTATTGTTCGGTAAACTTGATTTGAGATAGAGAGAAACTTACGTATAATTATTGACTAGTAAGTTACGATAGTCACATATCTTATATTTGATAGAGCATTATTACGTGTGAAGGTTACATATGGTAGTATTATTACTAATGTGTTGCTATATCGAATTCTTATTGATTGTAGATCAATTGTTCCCCAAACTACTTAGAAATAATAATAATAAGTATCGATTATTTATACAATGGCGTCTCACTTGTGTATGTCATTCTTGTTAACCAAAGGAATGACTTACATGCTTCTCTTGAAATGTTAGGACGCTAACATGGCGTCTTAGTCAATAGTATAATATTATGTATAAATGGAGTGCGATTCACTTCTTATCTTTGTGTCTAGAGCTTGTAAACAAAGATATTCAGACCGTTCAAGAGAGAAAAAGAGATTTCGATTGTTCAAGATTTTAAACTTTTGTGAAGCGAGCCAGTGAGCCGGCTACTTTTGTAAAACGAGCCAGTCAGCCGGCTAATAATAGGAGTCATACTACTGAAATTGAGTATCTCGTGATCCTCAAGCTCCGGATACAGAGATCTGAAGTGAATCTCTCTTATATAAATGCTTCAACTTTTGACATTGTATTATTGATCTAAGATGATGTATTGGTTACATGGAGGTTCTCATCAACTAAGGGGTGTAGATAGACACACGAACGTATGCATGTTGGAGTGAGCTGTAGAAGATGGAGGAGCGGGGGAGATGATGGTGACGTGGATACTACGTGCCGATGGACCCAGATTAGGTTAGTTGGGTGGGTTGGTGGGGACTGGTAAAAATGGGTACTAGTGGAGAAATTTTTAGGTGTGACGGAAATACAAGTGGTACACCACGTGTTTTAATAGAAGTGGTGAGATTTTTATTTTTATTTTTAAAGTTATTAACTTTTTAGCACACATATCCTACATTTTGTATAGTGACACGTGATGTACCATCTCGTGTACTGGTCAAATTAAAAAATCTCTCGTACTGGTGCGCGGGGTTAAGTGGGGTCCAGATGGGCAAGTTCAGAACAGGAAGTGGTTCCTGACTCAGTGATTGACTCACTCTTCTCCCCCATGACTCACGCATTCGGTGTCCGTGTGCCTCGTGAGGACTTGAAATATTATATGTTTTGATTAGGCAAACCATGCCAATGATATTGGGATGGAGGGAAGTTTATGGATGACGTAGGACTCAAGGGATACGAGTGAAATTATATGTGAAGGTGGGTCGAGTTTTTGAAGTAAGAAGGTTTCTGTTGAAATTGTGATCTTACATCGAAAATTAAAAGACTTTTACATATGCTTATAAGTAATTAAGTTGCTTATTTCAGAGTGGAGTGTTAACTTCCTTCGTTGTACAAAGTAGGTTATCTCATGTTTTGAGCCCAACGACTCTCATGCTCCTACCTCACTAGCTGTGATGTGCGAGGCAACTCAAAATTCTCATACTTTAGCAACTCAAAATTAAACTAATCAATGGTATTTTGAAACTTTACACTTTGGAAGGAAATTCGAACTAAAGTATAAAAGGCAGGACATGTTGCTCTGAGTTATGACGTGACTGTCATAATCCAATATGCAACGCCCTCGATGAGATATCAATCAACATTGTTTGTGATGCATGTGCAAGCTTACACTGGTCCAAGCAAGCAATGGTCGATGGGAGCGGTGTACGAGACTACGCCACCATAACTGTAGGCCAGAGGATCAAGATGTGACCTGTTTGGCCCTTCTTCTTGCCTAAGAACTGCCATTAAAGACGAATAAATAGGCCACGTACCATGTTGCGGCCAAGCAACAGTGTGGCATGGTTTGTCACTTCACATTGCAAGTACTTTGAACTTTGAAGATCCTCACAGTTAGGTAGATATGGCTGTCGTGGGCCTTCTGTTTTCGTGACAATTCTCTCTTTGACATTCATAGTTGGGGAAGCCTTTATGTATGTTTGCCATGTTAAGGGATTTCTACTTTCAACTAAACATCTAGCCTTTGACAATGGAGCTTGCTATGTGTATTGGGTAGTGCTTTTTTTCACGCATCTTTTTTTACTTTTTACACTTTGTAAATTTTTGTCGGTTAATTCTTTTCAATTCATTCGATATAATGGCAGAAAATTGAGAATAGTGTGTGAATAATACCACCCTATATATTTATAAGAGTTTTAATGTCATCAACTGCGACAAGTATTGAGTTGCAAGGGGCTTGTAGCTCTTTTTTAACTACTCACACACTCTTGTCAATTTTTGTCAGTTAATGCTTTTCAATTCATTCAATATAATGGCTGAAAATTGAGAAGGGTGTGTGGATAGTACCACCCTATATATTTATAAGAGTTTTAAGGTCATCAATTACGACAAGTATTGTGTTGCAAGGGTCTTGTAGCTCATGTTGTTAAGATTGCTCATCTCATGCACCGAAAGTTTTGGAATCTTCTCCCATTAATATTGCTTTTATCAATGTATGTGAGTACTTTTGTTCAATTATTAATTTCTAACTTTTAAGTTTCTTTTGCCACTTAGTACTACAATATTCATGTTCACTTGTAAGTGAAAGGTCTTATGTTCGATTTTTGCAAAAGACGAATTTGAATCATATTATTGCTAACCTATTGTGAAGCTAAGCTCACTCCCTCTCCCTTAGTGTAGATAATATCGTTTGTTAAAAATAAAATAAAAAACTTTTAAGTTTCTTTTACTGTTGATCTAGCTTTGTCAATAAACCAGTTTGGAGATCGTTTTGAGAATAGGACCATATATCCCACTCCAATGTGTATTACCAATCCACTTATGTTTAACTTGTTACGTAAGTTGATAACATATGAACTACGAATTAGTGACATGTGTCCTGTGACCATCACATGCACTTAATGTTTTTCATAAGTCCGAGGGTTCATAGAAGGATGCTTATCAATAATCTTAGGTTTCATATGATGTCTATGACTAAATAAGAATGGATGACCAATAAGTGGATGGGTGATTTTTTATTTTAAGAGAATTAGACATGAAAAACACTTACGAGTTATAAACTTACCATTTTGTGGGGATTGTAATGAATACTGTTTTAAAAATCGGCCTAGGCAAGCGCTGCGCGGTGATGTATCGTGGCGATTTTGGCCAAAACGTTCACTAAAATTGGGAAGGGATTAGGCAGCCGCCAAGAGCTGGACAGTGGAGTACCGTGGCGATTTTGGCTAAAACGTTCACTAAAATTGGAGAGGGATAGGCGGTTCTAGTATTAAGACTGTTGTTGCTGGTCATCGTAAGGGAGAGCAATGATCTCGTAATCCTCCAATTCAATGACGATGGGTGGACGCCAATTGTGGTGAGAAGCTTCTTCATGACGTGTCACATGCAGCAGGAGTTTCAGCTGAAGGTGACGACAGGGTGCTCGGAGATGAGGTGGCGGATGCGGGTCTCAGCGGACTCGGCGACGTTGATGCAGAGGGTGGAAGAAGAGTGGTTTGGGGGGAGGAAGTGAGGAGGCCGAGGTGGATGACGTCGTTGGAGCAACGCCGTAGGCCTTGCATCGTCGGGAAAGCCAGAGGAATGGCGTTGTGGTGAACTAAGGAAGAAATGGAGTGAGGTGGTGGGGAAATGATGTCAACGGAGGGCAAAGGGATAACCAAGGTGGGACCATGGGAAGGATAAATGGTGGTGTGAGAGAGGAGAGATTTTTTAGTGAGCGGAAAACACCATCTGATATACCAAATGTAATAATATAATTGGTTGGAAACT